CGCATGTATGAATACCGAATAGTTTCCCTAATGTAATGATTCAAATATATAAAAATATGTGATAATTATGATTCCCCATTATGTGGCCTTGAAGCCTTATAAAATTTTCACTTATCAATTAGAAAGGCTTTATTCTGGGCTTTTTGATATGGAAATATTTGAAGCTATAGTATATGAAGTTTTATCCAAATATTTTAAGGAAAAAGACAGACACTATGGTAACTACTATTCTTTAAAAAAATTATTTAGCTATTTCTTATGTTTATTTTAATTAAGGGAAAAATTTAAAAAATTAGGATATATAGTAGTAACTCTTTTTGATCTCCTATTAACTTGTTTTGTAGTCCTGTAATACTCCCAAGATCTTGTTTTGACTGATTAGACTCTGTTCCATTCTGTGCGATAGTAGCAAGTCTGAGGGTATAGGCAACTAATTTGAAGGCAATAAGATTCACAAAGATGCCCATTCTGGTTTGACTATTGTCTCCTTTGGAAGTCCTGTAATGTTCACAATGCCTAAGTTTTATTGGTCTTGTTCTCCACTGTTTTGTCCAACTTTATAATATCTAATGAGATAGATAATTCCTTTTAAGGAAACAAGAGACAATGTTGATAACCATTGTTAATAACCTTGTACTCTGTTCTACATCATGTGCTATGTCTATCCTTGGTTTTGACTTACAGCTTTGTTTTGCCATATTTGACTTTATTCTCTCCCCCCCCCAAAAAAAAAGTAATAAGAACTAAGGAGTAATAAAATCCAAAATGTGTAAATTTTGTTGTAAAAAAGAGAGGGAGGGAAAAAAAAAGAGCTCTAACGGATATAACAGCAAGTGTGTTTAGGGATGTTAAATAGCTGACTATATTAATGTTTTTGGATTATTGAACACAGCTGTTTGCAGTCTCTCTGTTTGAATGTCTACTTTGTATTCTTTGATACTGTGATTTGAGCAACTATTTCCAAGATGATAATATGTAATCTATTAACAGATGATTTCTTACTGTTATGTTTTTTTTTTGTAGTTCTATATTATGTGTAACCTTACACTGCTTTGTTTTGTTTTGTGTTTTTCTCTTTTTCCTCTTAAATAAAAAAAAAAAAAAAGAATCCTAATGGGTTAAAGCGACATATTTTAGTTTATCACAGACCAAGGCAAGAGAGATTAGGACACAGAATATATATGCAGGAGCAGAGGTAGACAGGAGAATAAAGCCCTTAGACTGATTCACTAGAGAATGTTTGCCTGAGTTAAGAGTGGTACTGGACAGCTGGGGAATTGCGCAGGCTACAGAAAAGTGAAGGAAAACAGGGACACTGCAGTGGCAAACTTCAGCTACTTCAGAATGTCACAAACAACTATTCCATACAAGAATTATTCACCAGTCTAAGTAACATTCATTCACAAAGGAAAGAGGAGTCCTGATTCTGTGTGTATAAATGTGTGGTTTTGCATTGTTGTTCAAAAGAAGTGTGTAAGTGGATTAAATTAGACGAAGATCTACACAAGGGAGATGATCTAAATGGGTTCATTTGAGAGTAGAATAACTGTTCAGGTAGTGGGACTGTAAGAGTTATAAATGTACCGAGTCCTAGGGAAAAGAATGCCATGACTAGACATTTTTGTGGGACAAGATAGTTACAAAAAGAAACACATAGTAAAAGAATATAATGATGTATGCCTTAAAGCATTGTATTGAATGACTTCAGGAAAAAATAACATAAGACCCAGGAGGTATTCAGTATTTATAGAGTCAAAATATGGGATTATAAACTTAAACAAAATATTTGTAGGAACAGAGTTTGTATGAAACCATTGTGCTTGTTCAATATTGAACTCAATTGCTGTAATCCTTTATTCCGCAAGGAGATGTTCTATACTGTTTAAAAAATCTATGTAAAAACTTGTTCATTTGCATATGTAAACATGCAGACTAGAAGCTGATTGGTTACTTCAGAAAAGTATTCTTCTCAGTGTTAGTCATGCATTCTTAGGAAAATTTAGTCTTGGAACTGATAGAACTATCAGGGAAGTATGACCCAAGCTTTTACCAAGGTAGGAAGCCTATTCCACAGAAATTCATTACATACATTTTTCTCTTAGTGTTACTTTATTAAACTTTGTAGTATGTAGTAAGGGACCATTCAATTTTATAGCTGGGAAACTAAAGCAAGAAGGTGACCAAAGTCATTTAGCAAACTATGCTCTGATTTCCAGCTCAGGGCTCTTCCTACTGAACTCTCGTTGCTCATCTCCTGCCAATATTATCAGATGCCTCCTCTCTCTGAGGTCTTCCACTAAGTAGGACATTATTGAGACAGTCAGAGGATAACAACTTTGGACTCAGCTGTGGTAATGTATCTTTAGATTCAGGCAGCTCTGGGTTCAAACTTTGGTTTTGCATTTTATTAGTTGCAAATAAATGTTTGTCTATTTATTCACTTTTAAAAACGGAGTCAATGCATACCCAATTTTTAGAAACCATGACTGAGATAATGTGAATTGTTTAGAACAGTGCTTGCTATTTAGAAGGTGCTCAAAACCTTAGATGCCTACTCCACATTAGCTTCAGTTTCCACTTTGCCTATGGAAACACATACAGATGCCTAAGAACAGACTGATTTCCACAGCATCATATCCTTATGAAACACAGTTATTTTAATATATTCCATTCACGGAAGCATTTCTGTGTGCTTCTGCAAAACATTAATAAATTTCTTGGTTTTGACATATTTCTAGCAATCATTTGGAATCAGAGATTATTGTTTGAACTACTGCAGAACTTTACATAGGAATTTGGTTTATTTGTCTTATTACTTAACTGAAATAAACTTGGCATTAGACCTCTGCTTAAGTTAGCTGAATTAATTCTGCTTTAATTCAAGTTCATCTCGGCAGTGGAAAATGACAGGTATTATTGAGTTCTGTTACACATTTAATAAGAAATATATACTTCTTATCCTTTTGGGAGCAATTTAATACACTGCAGAGCCTGTCAAAATTCAATTCAAGGTTGAATGACTAATGCATAAAAGTCAATTCCATATCCTATCAGAGATAAAGCCAGTTATTTCTTTTTATCAACTATATGGGGATGCTATTTGGATCTCAGGTAGCAAAGATTTGAAACTTCAGGTTTTGAAAACAGATGTGAATATGTGGAAAACTAGGGGACTTAAGGAGTAGAGACTGCCTAAAGAAAAGTACCCACAAAAACAAAATGTTTGACATGGTCGTTTTGATCCTTATGCAGGTTTGGTTTTCCACAACTTTTGCATTAGGACACAAACTCAGCCTAAATCCAAGAGTTAGAAGGATAAGGGATATTTTAGGGTTTTTATCTTCCATTGCTTCAGTTGTAATCATATTAGATATATATATGACAATACTTGTGTGTGCATGCGTTTGTGTGCAAAGGAACATACATGAGCACCTATGTTGGAACTTCAGGTTGCATTCACTCAATATTTACTTATTGGGCACTTTCAAGTCATTGCTGTAGATTCTGAGGTTATATGAATGAATAATACATACAAAAATCCATGCCATATGGAGTTTAGTAAAGGAGGAAAGAATAAATAGTAAAACCAGTAAGTATGTTATACTGTATGTCATATGCTGGAAAGTGTTAGAGTAAAACAAAGAGGCACAGAGGAAAAAGAGCATTGTGGGTGGCACAACCTTATTAAAAAAAGTGAGCAGAGGGGATGAGGTGGACATACGGTTACTTAAGGCAAAGGCATTTCAAGTAGAAAAAACAGTTACAGAAGCCCCGAAGCTGGGCATGGCGGCGCCTGGGGATGCACTGCGGTCAGGGTGGTTGAAGCCTGGAGAGTGAGTGGTAGACATGAGATTATAGGAGTTACTGGGGTTCAGACGTGTTAGCTCTGGAGGGTCACTGTAAGGACTGTGGCCTCTTCTGAGTGACATAAGTGCCACTGGAGGTTTTCACAGGAGGGATATAATCTGATTGCCATTTATTCCTCTAGAAGCTCTGTTAATTATCCAGCCAGGAAAAAGAATGAAATCATGTCGTTTGCAGAAAAGTAGATGCACCTGAAGATCATTACTTAAACAAAAGAAAATAGAGTCAGAAAGACAAATATCGTGTGTTGTATCTTACATGTAGGAGAAAGAGAGAGGATACAAAACTGGAAAAGCAGAAGGGGGACTATTAGAGAAGATGAAGGGAATATGGGGGATTAAGGACAAAGGGAAGGTCAGTGGGAGAACTGGGAGTGGAATTTATGAGAGTATGCTGTACGTATGTAAGAATAACCCAGATAAAAACATGCTGTGCAACTAATATGCACTAATAAGATAATAAAAAGAGATAAATTAAGAGATTGTACTATGACAGTAAGGCAATATTTATTGATGTCATTGTACAGGTTTGGTCACAGGAATAAAGGGCTGACACAGCTGTAGATCAAAGTACCTGGAGAAGAGCAGGTTGCCCATTGTGCTGCCCACCTACTCTGAATCTGGCTAGTACCATTTGAGGAGACTGGCTACATAGAGCTCTAGGAAGAACTCCTCATATGCTCCAACACCTACTGTCATTGTGTTCCAACAGCAGCTGGGAGGGCACCTATGAAAGAGACTAAAGCAGGCTGACTGTAACCTTTCTTTTAGTGATTTATATTCACAGTTCTACTCATCAACATTTAGCTAGATAGTACTAAAATAAAAAATAATATGTATCTATACATGTATTATGAAATACTCTATAACACGAACATTCTCTATCTCCTTTCTTAAATCTTCCATTGATTACATGTATTTCTAATTCTCTTGGTGCTTTATTTTTTCTTTTTGGTAGGAAATTCATTCTCTTATAGAGAAACTCAGAGTTGTGCGAGGCATATTTTATGTAAGTCTTTGATGTGAATGTTAACGTTTCTTTAAAATGTTCATATAATACAAAATTATCTTATAATCCAAGTTTTCTTTCACCAGTCAGCAAATTAAAACATTTCATTTACTTTTTTTCCTGTGTAGAGAATGCCATGTACATCCCAGAGACTAGCTACATTGAGAAAAGAAGGTCAGTATTTTTTCTCTCATAAAACATACAAAAATAATTCTGGCATATGCAAAGAAATCAACAGAGAAATGATTTTTAAAATGTGCTTTTATTTTTACTTGATAGTATTGATGTTCATATTTATGTGGGCACAGTATGTCATTTTAGTAGATCTGTACAATACATAATAATCAGCTTGGATAAATGAATATCCATCACTTCAGATATATATCATTCCTGTGTGGAGAACATTCAAAATATTATCTACTAGTTATTTTGAAATATTCTATTAATTTCAGGACAATAACTTTTTAAACGAGCCATCAAACACTCATTCAGTTAACCTTCCAATAGGGGTGCAAATAGAATTATAAGTTTCATCATGGAAGACTTCTTAGAAAGATGGACAGATTGACTAATCCAGAGATTGCAATAGGCGAGTTTTGCTTTAGAGGATTGCAGAGAAAATTCCTGAGGAGGGAATGAAATGTATACCATGTAAAAAGAAAACTCAGCATGTCTGGAATGGAAAATACAAGAAGGAAAGATTTAAATTAGAAATTAAGATAGCAAGTTTTCACTGCTGCATTAGGAGCATGATATGAGAAGCAGTGGAAGCTGGGTCAGGTGTGTGGTGCAACAAAAAATTAAAAAAAAAATAGCAGGTGGGCCGTGGATTGAGCAGGGGTAACCTAGCACCGGGTTTGAGGAAGCTACAAAGTAGAATGCCCCGTGACACTGAGGATAAAAGTTGGATGTGGACAAGATATGGCTGGGCAGTGTGGTAGCATTTATGGGAGAGTAGGAAGTTTGGGAGCTGGAGTTAGGAGAAAGCAGTGCAAGACAGGAGGAGTAATTGCAAAGATTTGTACTCACCATTGACTTCTCCCCATCCTTGTGACCAGTCACTTTTGTCTCTGGAATCTAGGCACAGACTCCCTTAGAAGCTCACCAGTCCTCACTGCTTCTGCTAACTGCGCAAAGACACGTTGTCAAGTTTGTACTAGTAGTCTCCTAATAGTGTGCCTCCCCCCCCCCCCCCCGCCTCTCTATGTTCTACTTTTAACTCAGCATAAATTTTCTCAATCTGGGCACTACTGACATTGTAAGCCGAATAAGTTTTTGTGTGATAGGTAGCAGCATGCCTGGTCTTTACTCACTAGATGGCAGGAGCACATCTCCTAACCTCCATCAAAATTATGCAATCCACAACTTCCTGAGACATTGTGAAATGTTCCATGATATGTGTGTGTGTGTGTGTGTGTGTGTGTGTGTGTGTGTGTGTTTAGGGGAATAACATTTTGCTGAGAACTAATGAGCTCTGATCCTTTAAAAATGTGTCAAATTGCTCCATGGCTTAGATTTTTCTGTATCTTTTCATCTTATCTAGAGAAAAAATCCAAAGCTCCTACAGTGGCCTGGGTGCCCTACCTGAGTGGGCTCACCCTCAGCTGTTTGCTCACTATCTTGCTGTTCCACAGCCGTCCTGGGCATACTGGCATTGAAGGGGTTTTTCTTTGCTTCTTGTTTTGTCTGGACCATTATTTTTCTTATTATTTTTCAGGCTTTCATTGGGCCTTCACTCAGGTAACAATTTCAGGGAGGACTTCCCTAAAAACATATTTGAAACTGTACCCTTCATTGCTTTTTTTCTTCTTCACACATTTATCATTACAAAACAATATCAATTGAACATTTAAAAAATTCCATATTTTATTAAATACTTCATTAAAATATACGTTCAATGAGGAAGGCTTTAGAGATTTTTTAAGTCTCCAGCTCTTGGAACATTATCTACATGAAGATGATACTTTAAGCATATCTTGAATGAATGAATGATGAATGAATGATTGAATAAGTGAACTGGTAGTGGGAAGACAACCAGAACCACAGATCTGGCGCACAGTGTCACCCCACCAAACTCGGAGACTCTGGGTTCATCTCCTCCCTTCTGACCTTACACTCTGCTGCAGAGTACCACTTTGGAAATTGCAGGAAGTAAACTGTGTTGGCCAGCTAACAACCATGCTGGAGCACTTGCCAAGCTCAAACAATGGCATTTAGAAATAAAAATAACATCAAATGGAAAGCAAAATTCATTTGTTAAACAAACCATTAGTTTTGGGGCAGCAACTGTCCAAATGATGAATCTACTAATTTGCAGGTTATTATTAGATATTAATTATCAGGCAACTCCATGTCCTAGAGGAAGCTTGTATAGCTATGGGAAGATTGTGTGTCTCAGTTCTTAATTCTTGCAAGGCTTATATTTGAGAATGAATGAATGTGTTAGTTCTACATCATTCTGTGTTCCACTATTACTTCCAGAATAATATGATTTTTTAAAATAAAAGAGTTACATATAAATATACTGAATATTATGGAAAAGGAGGACAAATAATTAGAATTAGTCTTTTTATCTAAACTCATCTCCCAAATCATTTTTTAGGAATTAGTGACAAATGTACTGCACACACACGTATGTACATCCACACACGTACACACACTTTACAGTGTGACAAGCAAGACCATACTAATATACATCAGGTTTCACTTAATGGAACATTAATGGGATTTTCACAGCAAAATGGTTATATTAGTTCTTGTTTAAATGGGTATAGAGAATATGCTTATGTTGCATATGTTTAATAATTTAATTTATCAGGCACTACTTATATTGTTTTATTTTTGAACTATTATATACCTAATAAGATGAATATGCCTATAGTATATCACTACATAATTTTGTACAAAATATCTTTGCTCCATCAGGCCATTCTGCTATGGTGTTCCTGCCTTGAAGTCTGCTAACCATGTACTGGGTACACTGAAATTGTTAGCTAAATTAAAACTATTCTTTAAATTGTGGAAGTCAAGTATTGTGCCCCAGCAATGGTAAAACTGACTAGACACTGTGGCACACTCCTGTGAGAACTGTGAGAAGCTGAGGCAGGAGAATTGTAAATTCAAATCCAACCTGGGCAACTTAATAATTTAGTAAGACAAAAATAAAAATAAAAACATAAGAGGATGTAGATCAGTGCAAGCATCCTGGATTCAGTTCCCAGTATCACGGAACAGCAAGACACATGCCATATCAAGCCACAAACCCAAACCACAAGACACACCATATTTGCATTCTGAAAAGGAGAAGTTATTTCTTTTCATCTTTGATAACCTTTTATACTTTATCCTTTGATCCCTCCCTATTTGAAGTTTATAATTTATGGTTAATTCTTAAATTTGGGCTTAAAAATTCTAAGTTGAATTTTTTTCCATATGCCAGTTGGTCCTGTGCATGTGTGTGTATTTATGTATGTAAGTTAATTAGAAAGTTTGCCTTTTTAAAAAATTTACTAGAATTTTTCTGGTAGATGTGTATCTTATGATGGTATTTATTGTTGTTAGGATTTAAGATACATCTTTCACCACTAGATTGTGATTCTATTTCTGCTGTTACATCTTATTTTAATTTAGTGACATTTGTGATAATATTTTAAAATACTCATATTATTCATTGAAATTTGCTATTGATTTGATTTTCCAGCAACATTGATATTTTATTCATATAGGGATTTAGCTCATCTATTATCTTTTATAAAAATGTTGTGCAGTTTAATTTTATTCATTCTTGAAGCAGACATTTAATTTTATGATGTTACCAGATATACAAGAGGTATGTATACAGAAAAGATAAATTGTATACTTGAATTTTATTTAATTTGTTGGAAAAGTGTTTTTAACAAATGGACTGAGAACAGTCTTTAAATAATCTTTAATATTTAGGATATTTTTCAGACCAATTTCCCCTTGGAAGTAAGTGTATTGTGTTGAATATTTAGTTTACAGCTAAATATATAAAATATCCTTTTTGAACAATGTAAAACTTTAAGTATTATTTGCATCATTTAAATGGATATATGTATTTCATTTTTCATTTTCCTCTTAGAAGTAACTGAATGACTTTGTAAGATACCACACCAACGTTCTAAAATGATACTGTGTTAGTTAGTTTTTTGTTGCTGGGACAAAATAATCAACACCCACAAGTTCATAAAGGTTTTATTTTAGCACACAGTTTACAGAGATTTCCGTTCATAGCCAGCTGGCTCCAGAGCAGGGTGCGTAGAAAAGTGTCATGACAGAAGAGAAACAGTCCATGGCATGTCAAGTGGGAGGCAGTGAAGCAATGAGCCTTCCTTTCCATTGTTATTCTTATTTACACTACAAACCTATTGGTTAGTTATCATCCATATGCGAGGTGGTCATTTCCATTATCTGTACCCGGAACTACATTAAACCTATCAGTGAACTGATCTAGTTATCATCCCCATAATCTAGTGTGAAACTCCAAATGCCCATCTATCAACACAGGAGGCTTTGGGGGGACATCTAGATCTAAGCTACAATAAACACTTACTCCTATTTTTGTTTGTGGTTTTAAAGTATAAATTTTTAAAGGATATATGTGACTAGAAAGAAGGTCCCTTTTACAATTTAGCTCTTCAAGAAATATACTGGTCAAAAGACTAATATCTTGAATTGTTATCTAACATGCTATAGGAGAAGACACACAGAAGAATAAGGCAATTGTAGTGGAGAACTCACAAGACAGGGAAAAAAAATCAACATTCCAAGAGAGTATATTGAAATGTTGTGTTATTTTTTTCAATAATGCTTTTGAATGAAATCTTTTAAAAAAATCAAAAAGTTTAAAGGTATGGGAAAGCTGCTGTAGGCTGAAAGTACAACATGCTGGCCTTAAACAAGAACCTGCTTGATAGACAAGACACTCAATTTCACTTGTCTGCAGTAAATCTAACTTTCAATTACGTACTCTGTCTTAAATCAAAGGGCAATGCCTTTGTTTCACAGGGTAGTAAAATATTTTAAACCTGAAACATTTTCTTTCTTTTCTGGAATATGGAAAGATTTATATATTTAAGATTTAAGATTAAATATAAAAAGATTTATATTTAATCTTTTTATAAATAAAAAGATCCTAACTTTAAAAAAAGCCCTAGAATATTTAGAACATAACTGATTATTTCCTGCAGCCAAATATTGTCTGCTTTTTCTGTAAATGGCTTCATGTAGAGATCATTTTTGTTTCCAGAATTTCTCTGGCTGATCTCCACTGTTCACTCTGTTGTTGTCTGTAGGTCAGCTGGGGTTCCAGATCCTCCAGTTGCTCCTGTTACCTGTGCCGTGTCTTTTTACCACTCCTATGGACTCAGTGGGCCTTTCCGTCTAGGGGCCATTACCTGAGAGAATGCTCTTGTCTGCATTTGTGCCACTGGAATGACTTCTTGCTGGGAGTTTATACCCTCCGAGACACCTCGTATATGGCCACAGGGGCTAGGAAAGCCCAACTCCTTCCTGAAACTGAGACCAGCTGTGAGGTACAGTGTATTTTAGAGCTGCCTAGAGGATCTAACTCATCCTGGCTCTTGGCTTCTCCTCCACTTTCCTGTGTGGCTTCCCCATAGCTCTTCTGGTTTTCTTCTTGGAGCACTTCCTTAATAAATCACAGCTTGGGAGTTTCCTTTTCATGGTTTACTTATGAGGAACCTAACTTAAAAGAATGGGTTATACACAAAATCAAACATTTTCCCTCTGAATTTCTTGTTTCAGACTTACCCTCAGTTAATGAATAATAGGCATTCCATCTGACCGACTATAAACCTCAATTTGAAGCTTTCTTGCTTAGGATCTCATTTTCTGTATTCAAGGAAATCTGTGAAATGAACAAGAGAGTAACTTTCCCCATTCCCAGAAACTAAGGGCCAAAGGATTTGTTTAAACTCTTGAAGCAGCCAGGGTCCCTGATAAGCCTTCTCATGCTCTCTCCTCCCCACAGTCAGCCTCTATAAGTAGATCTCTTCTCTTCCTGTCTGCTGAGCCACAGTCTCCTTTAGTGTATAGACTTGAGTTGACCAAAATATTAGCCCAAAGCTCCATGTGGCCATTTAAATCAACTAAAATTTCAAAGAATTAAAAGTTCAGTTCTTCAGTTGGACTAGTCTCATCTCAGGTAGCAAATATCCATACCTTTATGGATAGTTCTTCGAACAACACTGTCCTAGTCTTTCTATTCATCACAAGACAGTACTTTGCTATTTTTGTTTTGTGATAGCTTTAATTAATGCAGCTTTCTATCATCTCTGTCTCTCGACTTTCTGTGTTTCTCTTTGTGCTTGCCTGCTAATTTGACAGATTTCTCCTTTTTCAGTGTTGGGACTAACACCAGGGCTATTGCTGCTCTTCAATTTACCATTACTGCATATGAATTTCCATAAAGCCCATATTATGTGGGCTTTGTGTATACAAAAGAAAAGAAGAAGAAGTAAAGGAAGGAAGCAACCATAAACACATGCATGATTAGGAAAGGAACTTTCACAAGGATTCACTTTTTCCTCTGAAATAGTAGTAGAATAATCCCTGCTCTTGTCTGTCACAGCAGCATAAGATTTATTTGTGACTAGAAAAAGAAATGAGAGCTGTTGGGAGCCGCGGCCAAGCCCAGTCGCCTTACTTGGCGGACGTGAGGCCTGTAGAAAAGAGCAAAGCCTGAGCTAAGTTACCCCTCCCATCGAGTGAGCCAAGTTGGCACCTGCTTCCTGCCCCCTGATTGCCCTGGCGACTTAAACAACCCACTCTGTAAGATAGTCTGCCTAGCAACAACTGATGTTAACCAATCAGCCCGCATCGCGTGCTTTGAACTGATTGGCCACTGTTACCCTATAAAAGTGAGTGCCTCTCCTGCCACGAGAGAGAAGCACGGAAAAGGTAGAGATAGAGAAAGTCCACCGGTGAGAAAGGACTGGTGGCAGAGCAGAGGCCTCGCGGGGCCCACGCGGAGACAAATAAAGACAAGGTTGCACACCGTCAGAATCTGTCGTGTGTTTTTCCTGCCGGCCGGGAGCGACACCGACATCTGGTGGCCCGTACGGGGATCTGATCACTCCCCTCGGTGGTGTGCAACGCTCCAGCGTGGTGCTGCCGGACAGGTGAGTGGGGGATAAGCCTGGGCTCTGGGTGGTGCGCACCTACAGGGCTTTTAGACTCCCCTCAGGCTCACGCGTAGGTGACAGGTTCTCTAAGTCACACGCGGTGAGTAACAGCCCTCGGAGGTTGAGGATGGGTAATTTACCGAGCACGGAGGCACGGCCCTTGGTAAAGGCCCTTAGAAAGCTTTTAAAAGCTAGAGACCTCAGGGTAGGTCAAAAAACACTGGAACTATTCATAGCAGAGGTAGATAGGGTGGCTCCCTGGTTTTTACCCACAGGGCATTTAAACCTGCCATCATGGGAGAAGTTAGGCGGGGACCTCGCCTCGGCGGAATTGGGAGGCGATATTTCGCCGGCTATTCGCCCGCTACGGGAAATGATACATGCGTGCCTTGAAGGGGAGGGGAAGGGGTTCCCGTCGGCAGTTAGAGACGCGGAAATCATGGACGCACGCAAGGCTTTTGAGCAGGCAAAATCGGAATGCTCTCGGGAGGGGTCTATCCAGGGGGAGAAGATCCAGGGAAAGATAGAGAACACCCAAGCTCTGGAGTCCTCCGACTCAGATAGCGAGGAGGAACTAGAAGGTGGGGCAGGAAGCCGAGAGGCCCGAAACCCCTATGCTGAGTTGCGCCGCGAATTGTGTGCGTGCGCCGCTCGAGAAAAGCAGAGAGAGGAGAAAGGACCCCCGAGCGCCCTCTGGCGGGGAGGAGATAGAGAGCCATCCGCTCCGCCCTGGAGTTCATTTCCAGAAGCGGTTCCCCGCCGAGAGGCCGCTACAGGGGACCCCCCTTTCTCTCAGCCGGCACAGGAAGTGACGCCCCATTCCACTCTGTCGCGACCGCCGTTCTATGACGTCGCGCCGCGGGGCGGACGATATTTTCATGGGCGGTTATGGAGGGGTGAACGATGGCCCAGAGGGGATCCATCGATGCAAGGAATAGATTACGGTCCTTATGGAGTATTTCCTGTGCAAATGGCCCCAGGCCAAGGGCGCAATGTTTGGGAACCGTTTGAAATAAAACAGATTAGAGAATTAAAAAGCGCTGTCACGACCTTCGGGCCCACAGCTCCTTATACCATAGCTATGCTAGAGAATCTTGCCTCCCAGCCTCTTACACCGGGTGATTGGATGCAGCTGGCCAAGGCATGCCTTCCTTCGGGTAGTTATCTTGATTGGCGAGCATGGTACGCAGAGTTCTCTGCCGAGCAGGCTGAGAGAAACGCCGGTCAAGGAAACGGGAGCTGGGGATTTAGCTCAGCGGCATAAGCGCCTGCCTTGTAAGCAGGCAATAGCGAGTTCGATCCCTGGTACCGATAAAAAAAAAAAAAAAAAAAAAAAAAAAAAAACAAAAAACGAAAAAGACCAAAAAAAAATAAAAAAAAAATAAAAAATAAAAAATAAAAAAATAAAAAACAAAAAGGGGGAGTAAGCCAAGGCCTGCCTCCAAAGGCACGGTTATCTATGGCATTATTCACATACAATTTTTTAAACTTAAACAGTGAAAATTGCTCCCCAGCTATGGCACATTGTACCCCATCCCCCAAAAATAAAGGATGGGTTAAATGGAAGGACGTCCTGACAGGACAATGGATGGGCCCGGATCCGGTAATCAGCTGGAACCGAGGCGCGGTTTGTGTTTTTCCGCAGGAACCGGGACGAGAACCACTGTGGGTCCCAGAGAGGTTGACGCGACAAGTCCCTCGACTGAAGATCAGGCCTGTTCCACCAGAGGCCAACCGCAGACCCAACAACAAGATGAGCCCTAAAAGAACTGCAGGACAATCCCTTTTTGGGGGCCTGGAACGGCTTGCTCCCCTATGTGCTACCCTTGTTAGGCCCTCTATGCTCCTTGTTCTTGCTCCTGCTTATAGGACCATTCTTGCTCCGATGGGTCACATCATTTATTAATGGGCGCCTTGCGGCGGCCCGGCGTCAAGTACGCCTGGTTGCCCATGCGGCCCTGGCAGCAGCCCGTGATGGGCACAATGACCCCCAGGCTTACGCATGGCTCGCTCGATTGGCCTACGACCGGGTCTAGATGTGGCGGGTCTTCCGCATTCCTTCCCTATTGACACCACACAGCAGGGTGGGTGAGTCAATGACGGGTAAGAGCGTGCCTCCCCAGCACGACTCGACCTAAGCCAGGCCCTACCCCATACTGCACGAAAGCCGCTGGATTACTAGAATCTGCCCAGATCTAGATGCCTCTCCGAGGGGATCGCACGGAGGGGCATGAGTGCATGCCTATGTGCATCCAGGTTCCGTCCAGTTCACTCCTGGCCCTGGAAAAAGGACGAGGGTCTCAAGGCCTTGGTGGACCCAGGGACGGCCGACCAGGGTCCAAGCCAAGGGCCTACGGTGGGCCTCAACACAGGGCATAAGCCTCTGCACTCAATCCAGGGCGGGCTGTGATGCGTACATTCATTCAAAATAAATAAAATAGGGGGAGATGTTGGGAGCCGCGGCCGAGCCCGGTCGCCTTACTTGGCGGACGTGAGGCCTGTAGAAAAGAGCAAAGCCTGAGCTAAGTTACCCCTCCCATCGAGTGAGCCAAGTTGGCGCCTGCTTCCTGCCCCCTGATTGCCCTGGCGACTTAACCCGCTCTGTAAGATAGTCTGCCTAGCAACAACTGATGTTAGCCAATCAGCCCGCATCGCGCGCTTTGAACTGATTGGCCACTGTTACCCTATAAAAGTGAGTGCCTCTCCCGCCATGAGAGAGAAGCACGGAAAAGGTAGAGATAGAGAAAGTCCACTGGTGAGAAAGGACTGGTGGCAGAGCAGAGGCCTCGCGGGGCCCACGCGGAGACAAATAAAGACAAGGTTGCACACCGTCAGAATCTGTCGTGTGTTTTTCCTGCCGGCCGGGAGCGACACCGACAGAGAGCATTAAGGATAAATTAGAAGAATTCTAAAACATCTTGGAATTTACTAATGGAGGCACTGAAGGAGGTAAGCTTGTAGATCATTATTTGATTTTAATTACAAGTTATCTATTAACAAACTGAAGATTATGTTTTATGTAAATTGAATACATTTTTTTCCGAATAGAAATAAAAAAGATTTATAAAAATGACAAAATTCCTGTTCTAACTTTTGAGAATGATTATTAACCAACCAGGCAGTCTATCTTTTTTTAATCCTGCTTTAAAATGAAAAAGCAAAGCATAACAAAACAACCCTGAAAACCGCTGACAAAGAAGTGAAGTGACAGGGACTCTGGAATTCAGCAGGAACAGAATACAATACTTGGTGCAAAACTTGGAGACTTCCGAATAGGCTGAGAAGGTTCCATGAGGCCGCTAGAGAATTAAAGACTCAACAAGCCACTCCATTGCCTGTGATAGGTGCTTGTTGGTGATGGAATTAATTCAGGAAATAGTATCTTAAACATTTAAGATTAGAATGGAAATACTTTATGGATAATTTAAGTAGATATTCTCATCTCTGCATAAGTACATTTAGAGTAAGATGTACATAAATTTACCATGAAGTAATGAAACAGAATTTTTTGAGACAGGATCTCATTCTGTAGTTCAGGCTGACATTGAAATCACTTTGAACAACACTGAGCTAGACCAGGCTGGCCTCAAACTCAGTGATCCTCCTGCCTCAGCCTCTCGAGTGCTGGGATTACAGGCATATGCCTCAATGTTATGTCTAGAGGGGAAAAAAAGGTCACTCATTTTTGAAAAACAACATGATAAGGGCTGAAGATCTTTTATTACTCTATCTGATTTTGAGTAGCTATTGGTTTTTATAATGTACTTTGCAGCACAAAGCTTCATGAATATTCTCAAACAAAACTATTACTATAAATGGTGAATCAATGAAATACTCAATAGCATTTCCCTTTGAGACATGTTTTAAAAGAGCTATTATCAAAATGACTGGTATATGTTCTGCACACACACTTTTATCCATTTTATTTATTTTTTTCTTACTGGGGAAAAATTATTGCGCAGATACCAAAACAGTTTGATTTTCACAGGGAGACTTTTTATATTCAGAATTTTCAGCTTTCTATTAATTGCTTTGCTTTCATTTAAACATTAAGTTCTGAAATTAATTTACAATATATCCAGGGAAAAGCCTCCTTGGTGTAAAGCAAAAAGCTACCCCAATGTGAGGAATTTCATTTTCTCAAAGGCTTCAAATTAAATTTCAATTCAATTCAATTAACATTTATTGAATGTCTGCAGGGAGCATGACACTGTACTAGGAACTAGAATTTGAAATACACAGAAGTTCAATAGGGTTTCAAAGTTAATTTATGAACTTGGGTGGAGAAAATTCAAGTCGCTTAAACTGCATTCTTTTTGAAGTCTATATTTCCTTTGATGAATTCTCAAACTGTGTTTAATCTGATTGAGAACAATCCAGGGAATATGATGAGGAGAACACAGACCATTCTTTCTTAAGTTTTAACTTTGGAATAAAGGAATTTTTCTCATTACTTAACGAAATTAAAGAAGGATGCATTTGAGACATTTATAGGAAAATTAATGCACCTGGAAAATATAATGTTAAGAGAATTAAGTCAGACACACAAGGGCTGGGGTGTAACTCAGTGGTATGTGCACCTGCTTGGCAAGTGCAAGGTCTTGTGTTTGATTCCTTGTACCACTTCTCACCCGGAACCAAAAATCAGACATGCAAACTTAAGTGCTGTACGGTATCTCTCATTTAAGTAAGTAAGGGATAAAGGTCCTTTGAAATTGGGAAGAGGTCCAAGAGACTGAAGGTGAAAGGACAGGGAGGGGAAAAGGAAATCAAATATTTAAGATGTATCATACATATTTACTAAAACCCCACAAAGGATATATATTTACTCTAAACATACATCCAAATTTAGAAAAATAGGTCCATGCAAATGTCCACAAAGCCCTTTCTCCTTGAGAGTTTCACATACCTGCCAGTTCTTTCTCTGCTAAAGTCAAAGGTGGTCTTAAAAACAAAGCAGAAACAATAAGTTCTGTGTTTTCTTTCTTTTTGTCAGACCGATCTTCAGGGCAGGTGTACTATTTTACATTACCACCGTCAGTGTAGGAGGTTTCCTTCCTCCCCGTCATTTTCATCAGCATTCATTGTTGTTTTTGTACCTTTTTTATTAATGGATGTCAATATTCCATGATGATGGGGTTTATTTTGGGAAGATGTACATACATTTAACGTATCTTGGTCAATTTGAATCCCTTTGCCCCCTTCCTGTTTCCTTTCCCTTCCCTCTGGCCACTTTTGAGTTTCCAGTAGCTACCTCATGATTTACTGACCTCTCTCCTTTATTTTAATTACTTATTTATTAATGTATCTGTTATGTTTCTCTAAGAGAAATATTGCACATTGTCTGAAGCTGATGAAAGCAATTGTCCATGGTAGAACCCTCAAACATTAAAACAGTTGCTTTGTTTATGTGATATTTTCAGTTTTCCCTACTTATCACATGGAATTATTATTTTTAGCTTCAATTTGATTTGAGTTTTTTTTATTGAACAATGCAGCAGTCACACTTTTGTTGTACACTATTTGAATACATGTTTATAGGTTTTTTTTTTTCCTGGACTCTGTTTCTTTTTTCTTGATATCTGCACTTGAATTCATTATACATTGTCCTAATTTCTGATATGTAATATTAACTCTTGCTATCTAAAAGTCCTCTAAACTTTTCTTCAAGTTTGTTGTTAGTATTAGGTGTAGTTCATCTGTACAATTTTTAGTGTCAACATGGCAGGACAAACAATGACAAGAAAAACTTAAGTCTTCACTTTAATTGCATTTAATCCATAAAGCATTGAGGAGATCTAAAACTTCACATTGTGTTTTCAATCTGCAAACTATACATTTCCCCATTCAAGTAAGTAGCTTTAATATGTCCATAACATGTTTTAGGAAGAAGTGTTGTATAATTTAAATTAGATTTATTTCTAGTATTTTTAATTAATATTTTATGTTATTGTAAATGGTAATTTAAAATATTTTTATTCTGCTTCTAGCATCCGGAGATACAGTTGGTTTTAGATATTTATTATGAATGTAAGACTTTCCTAAATTTACTCATTAATTCTAAAATTTACCTATAGATTCTTTTGGATTTTCTGTCTATAAAAATGGTAGTAATAAATTTCTTTTTATAATTCTTATACATTTTATTTCTTTTTCTTCCATTATTGAACTAGCTACAATATCCAGGTCAAAATTAAATAGAGGAAGAAATAGTAAACTTCTCTGTCTTAACCTTGATTTCACAGACAGTAGATTTAATGTATCCCATTAAATAATATATTTCTTTTAAGGATTTTTATAGAAAAGAATGATTTTTATTATATCTGCTCAGTAGTTAATAATTATTAACCATCGCTTCATTTTTCTTTAGTTTTTTTTTTCTTTTTACCCTAAAATTAGATTCTCCCACACCCTCTAACAGTGCTGTGAACTGTTTTCTAAAATGCTTCTTCATTTGCCATTGTCAAATCCTGTTAGTGAATCAGCTCCTTTTACCTGTTCTATTTTAGGTACTTGTAGATTATTAGCATTTCTTCTGGAAACTTCTGGTCCTTCTCTTTGCCATAATTCTGGAAATTCTAGTTGCCTGTTTTTGGTTTCCAGATGTTGTGCTGGTTCCTGCTTTTCTTCTTTTCACTTTCTCCATTTTTTGATGGCAACAAGTCTTCCAGCTGCCTATGGGGCAGCATTAGGTGTGGACAGTCCATGAAGGACTTGTTAGAGAAAACTGGAGTGAGATAGAGGCTTTATGAAAGAAAGCATGGAGGGGAAAATGGGAAGAAACAGTTACTATGCTTTAATCCAGAACAATAATGAGGCTGATTTAACACAAAATGTGATTAAAATCATACTTGTTTTCCTTTATCAAAAATGGTAAAACCATTCAAGAGAATGAAAGCAGTACAGAGCTTTCAGAACCAAATAACAGAGAATGAACAATTGCTATTATATTATCTCATTTTTCATAGAAAATTTGTTTATACTATCATGCATAATAATATCCAATAAGATATAACATGATAGAACAAAAGGAAACAGAAGAACAAAAGCATAGTAGGACTTCAGTGTGAGATGATATTAAATGCTAAACAAAATAGACATAATACTCTGTCTGCTTTATTGGGGGAAGACAGATAATCATCTTAATAAATATATTAATTCTGTAGAATGAATGACAGAAGATGATAAGAGATGTTAAAAAGATACGGCTGACTGGGTCTTCTGGGAAGGATACAGAGTGCGATTTTAAATCAGATGGTCAGAGTAAGCTTCTTTGCTTACATGACATTGGAGCATAAGTTTGCAGAGCAGCACTGTAGGCAAAGTGGTTGCACATTAAGGAACAGAAGGGGGCTGAGGCACAGTGAATAAGACAGTGAAACAAGGTGAGGTCAGAGAGGTGATGGAGACTGAGCCATACGGGACAATGCAGGCCATCATAACCATCTGGACTTTCACAGGAACACCTGGTAGATTTGGATGAGAGCAGTGGTATGACCTGCCTTGCTTTAAAGGAATCATTTCCGATGCTGAATTGAGAAGAGATTGTAGGGACTGAAGGTAGAACTAATGAGGCCACGAAAAAACTACCAATGTGGTTCTGGATTCATGGTTCCAATCAAATAGGAAGCTCTGCAGATAGCTATGGAAGTGGTGAGATGTGAATTATTACCACTGCTGAGAAACACCACTCTAGAAGACAATGGCTAAAAATAATTCACTATTTATCATAACTTTGTGGGTTGTGGTTGGTTCCTCCGATGGATTCTTCTGGAGTCATTCAAGTGGCTGAGCTCCACTGCCAAGGGATCCTTTTTAATACAGTTCTTTTTTCTCTAGTGTGAGGCCAGATCCTCTTGTGGTGGCCTTAGGCTGTATTCTAAGAGAGGGAAGGTGGTTGCTGCCAGGGATCTGCCTCAAAGTCACATAATATTATCTCTATCACATTCTGTTTTTCAAAACAAGTCACAAGATCAGCTCAAACATAAATGATGGGGAGACTGACCTCATCACTTGAGAAGAAGACCAGAAAAGTCACATTGCAAACAGGTTTACAGATTGGAATTAAAAGACTTCGTACCCATGTTTTGAAAACATCAGAAAAGTATTTACTATTTTAAGAACAAAGATAACTCTAAAGTTGTTGGTTCAAGCAAATGGCATGAAAGAGTTTCTATCAACAGAGCTGGAGAAGACACCAGAGAGATTAAGTTCTGGATGAGAAAAACAAAACAGCGTTCAGGCAACAGAGTTAAAGGGTAAGCACCATGAACCAGCACTGATCATACAGCTTAATATTAAGGCAAGGGATATCTGAAGCAGGGTCTCTTGCCATGGAAAGCACTAATATTTGAAAGTGGGGAGTCCAAGCAAGAAGACTGCAAAATGATATAAATAGTGCAAGTCAAAGAAGGGAAAAGAAAGTCTCTACATTCAAACATGTGAAATTGTTCTACATAGTGACAGTTTGCAAAGCACAGAAAGGAAGAGGTAAACAGTGTCACAGGGAGGTACCACGATGAAGCTAGGAATAAGTTTGTAAGAAAAGCCAGGAATGTAGTGATTTGGGAACTGACAGAACAGCCTTGGAGAAAGACTGAGAGAAATTCTTAAATGGCCATTTCCTTCTTGTTGATCTAGGTCCTTAACAATAAATGAGACAAAGACCAAAGCATGGTAAGTTTAAAAAAAAAAATTCCCATTGCCACCCTGAGGATGAGTCTATACCACTGAATCTTGTAAAATTGGAATGTGACCCACAGTTTAAAGTTCACTGACTGTTTTGAGTGGGCGCTAATCTCATAGAGAATTTGATTCTTCTCTAAGCATAAAAAGCAAAAACATGAGTTACATCAAGGAAGAGAATTTGTACATGTACATTCCAACCTTCATCGGTCAGTCTTGTGTATGAGGCATTTGAACATGGAGTCTGAGTGTGTTTTTCCATACATTTACACATGAAAATATTTGCAACTCCTAAGCTGAGCTTTCTCTAGGTCTAGGATTCAGATGGTGAGGACAGAGAAATCATTTTCTCTGTAGGTTGCTCCACATTTTTGGCTACATTTTACAAATAGGCTATAAGATATGCAATACGTCCTCTGGCTGATTTGACAATCTACCCAAAGGTAAAAGGATGGACTCTGTGACCTTTGAAAGTTAATTTTCATCTCAAGATTTTACATTCCAATTATGCCTGATGGACTATTTAAATAAATGATGGATTTTCTATTAGGAAAGAAAATTGACTGGAATTCATTGTATTTGAGCTGCAAAAATTTGAAAATAGGTCAACTTTTAATTACTCAGAGTAATAGGGAACATCTTGGATGGATTATCCCAAAGCACAGGTAATTAACAAAATGTGCAAATTAGGCACTGATTCATAGCATTCATTAAAATTTACATTTAAACTATGACTTAAGCAGCATACATTTGTAGATGAGCAAATCAACATGATAAAAATAATTTTAAGATGCATACAGACATTTTGAATAAACTATGGAGTTGGAAATAGTGTCAAAAGGCTAGACAAACTGAAATATTTTGTCTACAATTCAAAACCTTTATCTTGAATGCCATAGGACATTTGACAGATTTTGTTGTCTCATTTTTGAAATAGCAAGGGAGAGATCAATGAGGTCTTTTATACCTTGGAAGCCCTGATGCTTTGTGCAATGCTGGACCTATCTCTGCATGTTGGTCAGGCTTCTGAGGCCCTGCCTTTCATCTTTCATACATGTCTATGAAAGAGCTAATAGCATAAAGATTAGGGAAAATAGGGAAGTGAGAAGGAGCAATTTGAGATATAAATGATAGTAACATATTCCTTAACTGATTATGGAAATTAAAATTGGAATGCCAATCTTATTTATTCTCAAATTTTCAAACAAGCTCCTAGTAAGCTGGGTATAGTGACACCTGCCTATAATCTCACACTCTAGCAAATTGAGGCCCATGGATCTCAAATTCTAGCCTAATTGGGCAAGTTGGCAATATTCTGTCTCAAAATAAAAAAAAAGTTAAGAAGGTACCTGGCAAAAAAGTTGTTATTCTGTCAAATTTGGTTTTTTAAAATTATTTCCTAATACATGTATATATACATATATACAATACATATATATGCAATATATATATATATATTAAATTATTTATTTTATTTATTAAATATATATATAAAATTATTTCCTAATACATGTATATATACATATATACAATACATATATATGCAATATATATATATATATATATATATATATATATATATACATATATATATATAGTATGCCCACTGGTACACTGAGCATTTACCAATATCATCATCTCCTTTTCTTCTTACCCAGTTCTGCACAATGAGGGCTGCTCTTGCTTTACAGATGGTACTGTGAGAAGTTCACAGGAACATGTCACAAAGGCTGGGTTTAAACACAGGCCTGCTTGACACCAAAGCCCATCTTATTCCTACTAGGCTTGTGGTATTCACACTGTGTCACTTTCTATTCCTGCTATTCCATTCCCAGGCCACAAAATGTGCATTTCCTTATTGGAAAGGTAACTTCTCTGAGTTCCCCTCAGACTTACTGAATGAGGATCTGTCTGAGAGATTCAGAAATCTGTTTTCACAAATCTTTTAAAACTCATTTCACAGGAGATTCTGATGTATGCTGAAATCTGAGAATCACTGTAAAATTCTACACTTCTTTAAAAGGTCTTTGCTATTTGGAACTAGAGGAGCAAAATTGATTAACTGTGGTTACATGAGGAAACAAGCCCATAGTTTAAATTAATTGAGCTTTGTAACTGGATTTCCTGTTTCTAATTTCCTCCATTGTCAATTTTCTTTCTTTCTTTTTGTATTGTCAGTTTTCATATTTGAAGCCAATAGGGGAAACTTTCTTAAATCATTCAAGGAGAATGTCAGATCATTTATTCAGACGTCCCCAAGTTAGAACTCTTGCTTAGTGTGAGTCAATTGTAAGACCTTTTGGATTGATAGTAATCATAAAAACTTGTCTATGGATGTACATGTGTTGCCTGACCTCCTTGTGCTCACACTGATTCACTTTTGTGATCTGTTATATGACATCCAGTTGTACACAAAATTGGCATTGTGCATCAGCTGTGCAATATCAGCACTGTACATCAATAGCTCTCTCTCTTTCACATATTGCTATGAACTCTTCTCTACTCTATCCAGCACTCTCAACCACATACACATGTAACTGATAGGACTTGACACAATGGCTGTTAGGCACTAGTGGGTAAACCATTATCTCATGTTCCAGATAGTTATGGAATGACTGCTGTATGGCTCCTTCTACAGTCTGTACGATGACTGGCCTCCGTGGCTTAATAGATTCTTCCCTAATTATGCTTGTCTGTGCTAGCCTTTGATCATTCCCTGCTTAATCATGTCCTCCATGATCCAAACACATGAGACTTTAAAGGGACATTTTAGATCAAAACCATAACATAAGGTAAACATTATGTAAACTATTAGTCTTAAGAACCATTATCAAGTTTTTAAAATGAGCTCATCAGATTCCAACATTTGTACCTGCCATGCACCCTTACGATTGTATGCTGTTTTCATGAGCATATTATCTATTACTCTATACCTTCTTTTACACAAGCAGTAAGTTTGTGAGGGTAGTGTCATTATGGAGGTATTTTAAAAATTTATTTTTAAATTTTAGAACTAACGGTAAGTAAGTCAAACAATTGTTCATTAATACTGTTTCTTTAAAGGAAATATAAACACTTGATAACTGATTACAAAGTATTGTGATCTTTTGGTTAAATTCTCAATCAAAGCAAAAGATATAGCTTTAGAACTGAATCTTCATGCTAATAATTACTTTTTAATGGTTTTCCCCAACTTTTGTACTAGGAATTGAGCTCAGAGCTTTTACACACAGCTACATTTAATTATCCTCACTATTTTTTTTTTCCACCTTGAGACAGGGTCTTGTTAAGTTACTCAGTTGCCCAGGCTGGGCTTGAACTTGAAATTTTCCTTGCCTCAGTTTCCAGAATGCTGGTGTTACAGCTGTGTACCACACCCCGACTATTTAAACAATATAAGTTATCTACTTGCAAGCTATCACGGGTTTGTACTAGGCAACACAGTAGAACTTTCTGCCATTCTGTGTCTTGCTCCAACGCAGTTCAGGGATGTTCTGAGATGCATACCTTACCTCAGCTGCTTTTTCCTCTTGAAACTTAGTGTCTATTCATGAAAAAACAGAGAATTTAAGTTGAAAAACATTCTATATCATACTTGCTAATAATCTCCAAAGTATTAAGGTACACTGAAATAAGGAGAGACTGAAAAATTGTGGCAGAGCAGAAAAGCATGAGAAGAACTAATGATTAAACACGCGTTCAGGCATCGTGGATTGGGCAGACTCCACCCCCACCAGCTTTTTGCAGGTATGCTGTGGATCAACTTAGGACCTTGGTGACTGTAGGTAAGCACTCTTCCACAGGTTCTATCACCATCCAAGATTGGGTCCTAGAACAAAGAATATTAGAAAACTGGTAAAATATGGATAAAGTCCATAGCTGATAGTATTGTGCTAATAGTAACATCTTGATTTTTCAGAAATGTACCATTTTTAAATTAAGATTCTAACATTATGAAAACCTGGGATAAGGTATACTATGTGGAAAGACTCTATACTACCATTTTAACTTTTCAGAAAATTCAAAGTTATTTAAAAATGTATTCAAAACAAATAAAACAACTCTAGTAGACCAGACCCTAGCTCATGGGAGGAGGATTTTACCTGAAGGCCTGTGAAAGCAGAAGTCTGAGGTGACTGATAAACATGGCGGGTATATAAAAATGTTAAAATGTAATACAGTAAGAGACACGTGCCATTAATTCCCTCAAAAGACTCCTCCTCACTGTGAATACAATTAACCCATAATTCTTCGCACTTTCTGAAGCAGTTGTGGAAGTCCTTTTCCATATGGGTCTTTAGGAGATGTGATAATACAGAGGCAACTGCTCCCATGTGCCAACCAACTAAAATCCAGGCTTGCAAAAATACGGTGGTGTGTCCCAATTCATCTTTTTTCATCAGGCCTGGCACTGTGTAACGTCTGACTCTTTCTCCGAATCAAAATAATCACAGAAGGTAAATCTTTTGAATTGATTCAGAACATCAAGGCAGCCAAATAAAGACACAAAAGAGGACTTCTAGGACTGCTCCAGAAAATGGGAAGAATGATGGCATAAGTGTGTTCAAAGTAATGTTTAGTATAGGAGGGGGAACTGGTATGTCTTTTACTACAATTTTTAAAAAATTTAAACCTTCACTGTATGTATATATATATATTTTTTTCAAATTGTAGTATATATATATATATATATATATATATATATATATATCAGAGGCAAAGGAAATTGTTTAGTTGAGATTGTATGAGTACTATACAGGCAAAGCCTATTTTGTAGACAAAAAACCTTTTTTCCTCATTTAGGAATATGTTGGTACTCAATTATCTAATCTCCTCAAGACACTACCTGGCAATGCCTAGAACATTTGCTCTGTTCTTTAGGGAATTCACAGCGAGTACATCATTTTTGTAGTTATTTTTCTATTAGAAATTTTCCATAAATATTTTTGTAGTTGTCCATAAGACATCAAGTACTCCTGAGATAAACACCCAACTCTAAAGATAGAAGTCCTATTTTTCAATGCAGCACTTAATGAATAGGAATTTCACAGTTGCCAAATTTGATCTTGAGAACCCCTGAAAACTAAATATTATTCCATGACTTCAACTGGTATCATGATGTCAGTTGTGTATTTTACACTTTTAAAACATCTAGGCTTTGTGAACTTTTGTGAAAAGAGTTTGATGCAGAAACTTAAAATCCGAGTCTTTCCATACCAAGTTGAAGGGTATATTCTGTTCTCAATAGATGTGCGTGAGCTCTGCAAGGTATTTCTTGGGATTCATTTTCATATTCAACCCAAAGATATCTTTTAAAAAATTGAAGGGATTTAATCATTAAAATTCATGAAAAATAATATTCTTCATCATAAAATTTTTCATAATTGGAAATTAAAGGTGGTTGAAATAAAATGTAGTTTAATCCTTCTTTCAGGAACCTAAGACAAATGCCAGACACACTACACTTTCTCACAACAGTTGAGACTGCAGAGGTCTGAAGGTATTATATGTGACAGATCCATTAAAATCCTTATGTATGTGACAAAACTATATCAAGAATTCTGGCACAAATTCTAGTTGATTTTCTTTCTCATCATATAATTCATAGTGAATCTTGAATGGAGCTTGATTTTGGAAAATTAAAAAGGAGCAGATTTGTGGGAAGAAGAAATAGCTTTAAATTCTTGAATTCAGATTTGTTTGAGACAGAACCAAACCAGAACTTAAAACAACAATGGTTGAAATAAAATGTATTTTAATACTTTCAGGAATCAGAGATCAATGCCAGATACACTTGTTCACAAACATTTTACCTATATTTTTAATGTACAGTGGATCCTTGATATTAGCAAATCCAAACTTCTGATTTTGTCTAGTGGAGGGAAAGATTTGAACTTCAGGGTTTTTTATATGATGTGAGTGGCAACAACATAGCCTTATTGCCCTGAGGCTTGTGTTCCTCATATTTTATTATCACGCTGAGGTACAGCGTAGCATTATGAGTTTTTAGGATAATGTGCAAATGAGACTTCTTTTAGGTGGTTAGTACACCTTGCTTCTCACACAGCAACCACATCCCAGCTGACTTGTTACATGTATAGACACACTCCAGGAGCGATTATGAAAGTAAACCTAAATAGAAATGCGATAGCTGCTATTAATGATGGACAAGAAAGTAAGTTGGAATGAGAAAAGTATAAAAAATGAATTTGGCAAGTTGTTAAAATTCCCAGTGTTTGTTTTTTCCTTTAACTGTCTAGAACTTACTCTTCAGCACATAATATAGCATGTCATTAATTCCCTTTATCTTCTAAAGGACTGTCAGTCAGTAAATAAGTAGATATAGTCTACTAATTTTGGTTTTAGCATGGGCTGAGAGGCTGACAACCAAATGGAAGAATGCCCAGAGATGGCATCAGTCATCACAGGTCTGCCAACCTTTCTGAGAAGGTGAAAGGAACAAAGAGCAGATGGTAACTGTGTTGTTGTCAGAGGCTTGCCAGAAAAATGCAGTGAATTAAGAGAGGCTTTTAAAATAATCTCTGTTTAGTACTATGAAGAGGCTCATGTGCCACAGCAACCTGGGGCTCCATTTAAAGACAAACCATCCTGCAGACAATGACTACAATTTATTATTCAGACAGGAGCGCTTCCCAGTGTGAAGGGGCTTCAGGGGTGATTATTCCAAGGCAAATGGAATTCATGAGAACTACCTTGAGGAACACAGGAGACAAAGTCATTCTGTACTGCTCATCAGTAGCACTATTCTCCATAGATCTCTTTCTATTGTAAATATTTTCTTCTTTCTGGCATCTTTGTGCATATTGAGTGGTCAATTATTGTATCCATTTTTTGCTTATATACGAAGTGATAAAGCATCATAACAGGAAGATTTTGGAAACTGCACCTTTGCTTTATTATTTGAACTCATTAATGCAAAAATTCAGACAGGAAAGAAGAAAAATCAGTAACCCAGCAAGATATTTGAATCCAGGTATAAACTTTTTAGATACTTTCAAATCCTCCTGCCCAGGCAACTGTCTGATCAACTTGTTTTAAATAATCACTGATACATAGAGACTAATAAGTTGAACTCCAAACAATTCCTTTTTAGATTTTAAGTTTATAACAGTATAAACTTACCAACAAACTCCTGCACACTTACTCTGCACAGGCAGTAATGTAAAATATACATGGAATATGGACAATCATGACACGAAACTTGTAATTTTAAAACAATAATAACCACTTGTAATATATGATAAATGTGTATGAGAGAAATTAAGAACCATTTCATGTAGAAAACGAGAGAGAACTTGAATGTTACATGTAGTAGGAAGGTGGGTAGGACCTATGTGGGGTGGGTGGTGTTGAAGGACAGGAGACTGAGAAAAGGGCTCGTGGATCCCTTTCAGTTTATTTATGATGACTCAAAAATTGTTCTAAAGTATGGTTTACTAGTTTTTTTAATAAAATTTATAACACATTTTCCACTCAGAAATTAATTTCACCCAAGTAAAAATTTCAACGGCAAGATAGTGATCCTTGTACTGTGTGTGTGTGTGTGTGTGTGTGTGTGTGTGTGTGTGCATGTGTGTGTGTTATAAAATTGTTTGGTAAAAATGCTTTTGTAAAAACAGTGATTAGGCACATTTTGAGTGGCTTTGATTGTGTATTTTAGACTGAGCTAAAAGTGTAGAGAAGCCTCATGTGTGAATGTGTTTTGTAGTAAATCTACAGTCAATTGCAAATTTGTGGCATTTGTTATTCTGTTGAACAGATAGCACCTCTGCTGAATTTAATGAGCTAAAGCAGGTGAGTAGTTCATTCTAATCTCCTAGTGCCTGGGACGCATGTCCTCCAAGGAGTCACAGAGCATATGTCCTCTTGTTTGTAAAACTGAAGGTACTTTTCTGATCAACAAGTTTTCTTTGAGGATAGTGGCATTGTGATTTTGAAGACATTTCCTTTAGTGCACTGATTGAATGTTAACTTGCAGCAGGTACCTGTTGTAAAGCTGAGAGGTAATTTGTCAAATTCATGATCCATGGCAGATTTCCTTTAATTGATTTGTATTTCTTTGCATGAGTTTAATACGCTGAGAATGTCTTAGATTCTCTCACCCATATGTTTCCTTTACTATTTTGGAAAAAATATTATCAAGCAATCTTTCACATAATTCCAAGCTGACTCTAACATGTTTATCATAATTAGATGAAATTGTAAAGGACATATGTACAAATCTAATCTGAGATTCTCAGATATCTAATCTGATATTTAAAAACATCAACCCAGGTTCCCAAGTGTTTGTTCCTACTGGCTCATAGGGACATTCATTTGCTCTTCATTGTAGCCTTTTTGTCATCAACTTCCTCCCTTGTTATCAACAACTTTACCTTCAGGCTGATGTCTCTATGCAGACCTGCTTATTGCAATTTTTTCTTACGGTTATTTTTGGATGCTCTATCAGTAACCTACGTTTCCCTGACAGGTCTCTAGGTCCTGGGTAATATAGTGTGGGCTTGTGCAAGCACTAAACTTGGCTACCTCACTCCATCCCAGGCATGATACAGCTATGTTAGAGAACTTATGTCGAGACAGGAAAACAAGGCTATTGCTGTTCAGTAATTAAACCACACTGGAAACAAACTGAGCAAGGAATCTTTAATCTTTAAAGCTGGCACTAAAAGTAAAGTAGTCTTAATTACAGAGAAGAAAAAGAGATAGAGGAAAATTTGCTTTAAAAATCTGAATTATTTGAATCTCAGAGGCAAGGTCTTTAGAAACTGATGGCAACGACTCTTTATTATGATTAATTTCTTTTCAGAA